GGCATTGGCATTTCTATGTGGATTAATGAATGGCAGCAGTAACAGCTCCGGTGAAGCTAAGGCTTCAGGTGCTTGGGGATAAGTAGAAGGTGAGGCGTACACTGAGGGAAATCTAGAGAAGCCTATAAGGTACTGACTGCTAATTCAGTTCAGAGTTTAGAGAGAGAACCATCAGTCGGATATTATGTAAATCCAATTTCCAACTCATTTTCCTCAGTGCCTTTTGGGGGAGACGTGTGTTTACTTTCCATATAGAAGCATATATAGACACACATATCCGATGCCGGGTGCAGTCAACAGGCCCCTAATTATGTGTAAAGGTGTTGTGTGTTGTTCCTCCTGCCCCATCACTCTCCCCCGCTCTCTCTCCTTTTTTTGTCATCATCCATCTCTCGGAACTACAAGGGTTAATTAGTAGTGCAGGATTGTCGGCGGCACAAACGGACATCAATCGATATGGAGAACTGGCGGCTACTGGGGAAGAGCTTCTGTTCTTGTAGCATACTGATTGCAAGTTATTGATTTTCCAGAGACACGGGGCTTAGTCGCCCCTGGAAAGGGAACAGCTGCTGCTCCCCCCGAGAAATTCCTAATGTTTGACCATTTGCCATTTTACGAGCCTCGCGCAGCTACAAAATCGAATGCCCCGGAAAATGTCTAAACAATAATACATGGGGGAGAGAAAACCGAGGGCGGCGACTCATCATAAAAGGCCAAAAGTGCAATAAAAATAAATTTAACACAACATTTGCTTTGGGCATCCGCAGACGCAAACGCAGCCTCATCCTGCCCATCCTTGTGCCATCTTCCGTCACAGGACCCAAAACAATCCCGGGGACAGCCAAAATATTTTCAATAATAAATCTATTTGATGGCCTCCGGAGACCATGGAGTTTTTACGATCACAGCGATGACAGCAGGCGCAGTCATTAAAAATCTCTCTCCGCGCATGATTAATCGTTGGGGATGTATGTCCGGGCTCTTGCGCAAGAGGACAAACATACCAATGGATATGGTAATTAATTTCCACACACTTTTCCTTTTCACTGCCCCCACAAGGAAGAGGAAAGGTGCATCTGTGTGCAACGAGGAGCAGCACTTGACCCTTGACCATCTGTGGTCATAGGTCTGCCTGGCGGGCTGTCTCAACTAATTTGTCCAGTTTGTGGTCCGTGTCAGGTGTTGTAAATATCGCATTTAATTGAACTGTCGCCCCGTGTGTGTGTCAAGTGTCCAGGGAAGGTCAGAAGACCTTCATATTTTTTGAAGCTAATGAAGTGGAGAGCCGAGGGATGGCTTTTAAATTACCAAGAGGCTTCTTCTTTTAGAGAAACAAAGTTTATTTTAGTTGGAGAAATTATATATTTGTTTAAAACGTCTTCAATATCTGTCTTTATATCTGGAGAAACCCACAAGAAGAGTTTTAAATAAACAAAAATCCAATTCTCCAGAGATTTCAAGACACATCTGTCCCTCCTCCTTCCCTTCACAACTTTCCCCCTTTTTCCTTTACATGTACATATAAATCAGCGACTCCACTGAACAGAACAACACGCTTGTAATTGCTTAATTAGATTGCCACTAAAATTATAATTTGAGAAAAAGAGAGGCGGCAGCTCCGAAAAGCTGAACACGACAGGGATTTCATAAAGGGAAAGGGAAAAAGGACCTCTGTCGGAGGAGCAGCTGGCGCGTAAATCAGATTTGCTGACAGGGCTCGACTAATTTTAACCCTTGGCACTTGAGCCAAGGAGGTCTCCAGAACTGATCCCGCCGGAATGGAGTCAAAATTCGTGTAGCCCTTCAAGTGGCGGCTGAACGAGTGCGTGGAGGACGCGTGCTAATGGGGCCAAAAGGTGCAGGATCAGGACCGGGATCAGGATCGGGGATTAGAGCTGCAATCAGCGCAGCGGATTCGTTAATTTATGCGTGTCCTGTGCGAGTTCAGCTGCACCTTGGAACCTATGTCCTGTGTCAAAGGACATGTGTTAGGGACGGCGACATGCCAACACACACATGACTGTGTTGACACACACAGGCAGCACCGAAAACAATTTGAAAGATTTAATAATAAATAAATACTAAAGAATTAAGCCAAATGCATTCAAAGTAATCTGGGATACATGATTCCTTTCCTCTTAAAAATATTCTTTTAATTAAAGAACAGACAGAATATATTAGGTTAAGTTAGGTTATATATTACACTGGCATTTTTCCCCCAGTGTATTGGGAAACGTAAGCATCGGAGGGGCAGGGGGCAAGAGTCCTTCTTAGGGCAACATCTAAATGGTATTTATTGGTTTGCCAAGCCGGCGACGGCTGTCGAGCGCATCCTGTGCAAGCCGCGCGGCAAGGATTGAGTTACGCGTTGGCGACACATTTGTAAACAGGCAGCCCGATTTGCAGGACATGTCAGGGGACGGGGACAGGGGACACGGGACACAGGAGACGGGACTACCGGGGCAGAAGTCGTCGCCAGGAGCGGCGCGCTCCTTGTTTGCCAAGACATTAGGCAGAAACGGCAGCAGAAGCAGCACAGGCAGCGGGAGGAGCGACAATAACAAAAACACCAGCCAGGACAACACACCGCGTGTTTGCTGTCAGCCAAGGATCACCTCAAATTCAAACTCAAACTCAAGATCCCCTGCCTGATTGACAATTGACAAATTTCTTTTGGCATTTATCAATGGAACCGCGCCGAGAACCCGCAGGGCTCTGTCCTTTCGACCTACCGACCTCCTGTCGCGATGATGAATCGAGATATTCATGTTTTTACACGCAACTTGACGGGGCCAACACGGGGATTTGGTTAAGTTAATATTGTAAATGTTGCCTGCACTCCAGACGATTAGAAAGAGATTTTTCAAAGCAAAAACTGGAATGGGAACTGGAAAAGGGTCCTGCGAGAGGTTGATAAATGATAGGAAATTAGGTTGGGTGCACTTAATTACAAGGCCTTTCCTTTATATATTTGTTTCGATTTGACAGAAAAGAATATTATTTCTTAAATCCAGTTCAGATTATTTGAATAGAAGTATCAGGATCCATTCCTCTGGGCTTTTAGCGCTTTTAAGCCTTAATAGCGCTAAAACTGAGGTGTGGTCACACTTTGTACGCTTAAAATTCAAATTTTTAGCCGAAAAAACAGCAAAACATGCTATAAATTCATGTTAATAACAGTTGCAACAGCAAAAGTACCCGTATGCCCACCGGCAACTGGCCATAAATTTCGGCCAAATGGGTTGACAGTTGGCATGGAGGAGTTAACAAATATAAAAAACAAAATGTATATATAGAAGGAGAGGAGGAGGAACCCTTCCTTGCCGAAATGTAAACTCCCGAAATAGTCCAGAAATGTGATACGAATCAAGTGCCACGTGTCGCCCCCTCTTAAATGTTTAAACTCCTTTTTGAATTTTTTTGCGAAGACAGTTCTTCTTTTTCGGTTTTTTTGGCCGTACCAACTGTTCGTTTGGAAGGAAACTCAGCCCAAGCGACAGATGCGCGTGTCTCGGAATTGTGTGCTACACTTTCGCCTCGCGAGCCATCGGGTTTATCAGGGCCAACAAATCGTCCAAGGGGAGATTCCTGCTCCCTCCCTCTGTGGAGGCGTGTGTCGAGGAGGCGGGTGCGCATCTCGTTAAACCGCAACCGAGGGAGATTCGGATCTGGCTGTCAGGACATCTGCGATCAGGTTCCGTTGGCGGAGTGGCACCGGATCGTTGATCGCAGATCGCAGGAGATCGCAGGAGATCGCAGGAGATCGGAGGAGAGCGTGAAATGCAATTGCCATGCCCTAGCGGTTCTTGTGGCCCGTTACGCGAAATTGATGGGACCAAGAAAGCCTCCGTTCTCTTCGGTTCGTTGCTACCTGTCCAGGTACACTGGAGGAAACGAGCCCTTCCATATTTTTAATTAACCATAAAGACTGGCAATAAATTAAAGCTGTTTAAAACAAAGTTTTGTTTTTGAAAATAAGGAATAAGATACATAACCCACATATGTATCATACATTGCAATTGCAATATGCGAAACATCGTATGACGTTATGCACCTTTTTACCTATATAGTCTTTCAATGCAAGTCGTATTTTTCACCTATTTCGCCCAGTGCATGGGTAAGCAAAGTGTGCTTCCTTCAAGAAGATGTTCCAATTAAGATCAACATGCCCAGATGTTGCTGCCCCAATCGACCTATTCTGATCCCGATCCACCGTGTGCTTGATGGACACAGGAATGTTCCGCTTAGCATCTCTCACAGCTGCGCATGGAATCTGCGAAAGTGGAAGTTTTTAGGTTTCCCCCACGCAGAACGAGGACGTGTCGTACGTCCCGTAATCGGATACTCCGCCACTTGGCTTGTGCCAAGGAAATGGACAGGCGGAGCGACAAGCACTTGAAAACCAAAACCAGAAGTGACCCAATAGCCACTTGAATTTCATTTAGTTTCGTTTCCAAAATGCAGCGCACACACCTTGGGCGCTTGGATTCTTTTACTCCCCCTCCGGCCATTCAATCCCATTTCGATTCCGAGGGTGTGAAAGGCCGTGTCGTTGGCTCGTGCAGCCAAAAGGAATCCAAACTTGTCCCATGTCCTTCCGCGTGAACTGAACCCACAAGGTTGTGCGAGTCAATTTGTCAGCGAACGGGCATTGGAATTGAAAATTGCCGAGCAGCCTGCGATATGACTGGGCCTTGGTAACTGGATACCACTGGCAGCTGACTGACTGTCTGCAGTGCAGCCTGCGAATACCAGATACGGAATACAAGACACAAGATACGGGGACTGGGGCGTTATTACGCAATCTTTTGTGGCCATTTGAGTGACAGGAAAGCTCCGTCTCTCTCTCTCCCTACCGGGAATTCCTTTTGGGAAGATTGTAACTTACAACTTGTAAGTGTGAACAGCACTCGAACAATAATAATATTTGAAATTGATAAAGTGCCAACTGCAAATTGCAAACTGGGAGAAAAAAATACATGGAATTAAAATACGCTCCCTGTCCCAATATAACCCAAATTTGTGCTTTATTAAATCGTTTGGATGGTGAAAACATATCCATAAATCATTATTAATATATAAATGTAGTTTGAGGTGTTCAGGAATCTCAGCAATCGCAACAAGAAATTCTAGTTCTTGGTAGCCAAAGCGGAACGGTAGTCCACCAGTGGCTGCCACTCCTCCCTGTCGACCGACGGCAGGGAAGGCTGCTCGATGCGCTGCAGGAACTTGGCCACACAGACCCTGTCCTGATTTAGGAGTTGCGGTACAAACTCCTTCAGGACCTTGAGGAAAAGTACATTTTTGGGAGCGCCTATTCCCGCAACGTCGGACACCGACTCCAAAACATACAGGATACCAGCTCTGTGCAGGGCATTGACACTGTGTCGGTTCTTCAGGAGATCGGTGTTATAGTTCTCTCCTAGACGGCGAGCCAAGCTTAGGAGCTGACGGAACTCCAGAGTGCTCACGGCCCTGACGCCGTCATGGTTGACATCCATCATCATTTGCTTGAATGGCAGCAGACAGGTGTGCAGCATGGTCATCCCGTAGTTGACCGGATTGATCTCCATTGCCCGCTCCATGGCAGCACGCATGATGTCGCCGAAAACGGCATAGTACTAAGAGAGAGACACAAAACATAATAAATTTGGAAACGTCCTTACTAACATCACTTACCTTGTCGTAATACTGCAAGACCTTGCAGGCTCGCATAGTTGGAATCACATTAAAAGCCAACAGCTTGCAGTAGCCCGTGAGAATGAAACGCTGACGCTGGAGCTCGTCGAACGAGGACTCCTTGGCCAGGTTCTCGGGCTGCCTTCCTGAGAAGAGGTGGTTCAGGGTAAAAGTCTCCAGCAATTCAAACTCTCTGATCGAAGGCTCGTATCGGATAGAGCGTACACACGATCTTGGATTCTGCATCAGTGGATCTCCAAATAGTACAAACAGATCGCAGATGCCACCAAAACTCTAAAAAGAGACATTCATTTACAGCGAATCGTCGGGATGACTTCTATGGGGGTTTTACTCACATCGAAGGCCAGGCCTTCTTCTCCCTTGTCAACCAGGTGTAAAGCCACAGAAAGATAGTCCTCTAGATGCTTTTTTAGGGAAGCACAAGACTCCTCCAACTCCAGATCGCTGCGATTATTATCCTCCTTCTTTACGCTAAGCAAATCCCAGTGGAGACTATAATAGCACACCTGCAGATACTGCGACACGGCCTTTGCCGGCAGGTCGGTCCTCCTCGGTCTCTTATCCTGATCCCTGTGCACACGCTTCAGACTGGAGAGAACCGACTCCGTCAAATGAAATCTACTGAGATCAAAGTATCTATATAGAGCCGCGATCAAGAGCAGCGAGTCCAGCAGGCTGCGTGCTCGATTCCTAGGGCGACTTTGACGTCCCCCCATTAGCGGGGACGAAAGTCGTGACGAGGACCGGGACGAACCTCGGGACGAAGCTCGGGACGAAGCCTGGGATGATGACTGTGAGGACGACGACAGGCTGGGAGTTCCGTACATCCGCTGCCATGTGCGAAGGGCAATCTTGTAGTTATACACTGCAGTGTGAAGCAGCTCCCGAATATGCGGCTTAGTGCGCGGTATGTCTTTGAGATTCACCAGAGTAAGGGCTGCCATCCGCAGTACCAAGCTGTTGCTTTGTTTATGCATAATGGCCTTGATCTGCCGGAGCAACAGTTCCAGCTGCTCTACGTTCTCCGTCTGCAAGTAGTATTTTAAGTAAAAGTGCTGCGGTAGCTCCAGTAGATTCTCTAAATCTTGAGGGTCCGAGAAATGCTTCATCAGTAGCTCCGAAAAGATGGGGGCCAGGATATGAGTTGCTCGCAGTTGGGCCTCTGGCTTTGGCGTCCTAACCAAATCCTTTGTGTATCTGCCCGGCGGTATCTCACCGGTAATGGCCTGCTTAACACCCCGACAAAGGATCTCAATGAGAGCCGATCTCTCAGTTGAATTCAGCCTCGACTCCACCTCGTCCTCCATTAGCATGTCGACCATGGTCTTCCAGTCCATAATCAGGTCACAGCTATCGATCAGGGAATCCACCAAATAGGCAGCATGCTCATGCCTGGTGTACCGAATGAAGAAATCCAGCAGGCGTTTGAGTATCTGGGAGGAAGAGGCTCCCCTCTGAGGAATCATCCAGCGCAGCGTGAAGAGTCCTGCGGCCGCATGCGCCAGGCTGCGACTGGCGGCAAACATCAGTTGATCCAGCAGCCGGCAATCTACGTTAGTCAAGATTTTAGGCGAAGCCCGATACAATCCGGTCAATAAGCGCAACGCATGCTCCCCCAGTTCACACTCCCGCTCCATGCAAGTGAGTACGATCAGGTCGCGGTACTCCATGGCTAATTCCAGGCACTTTGCGCTGAGTTCTCCTTCGCCATCCGTCAGATCTTGGATGCACTCCAAGCAGCACTTCCTCACACCTGGGAGGCTGTCCTTTAGGCCCTCATAGAAGTAGCGAAGATTTTTGGGCTCCAGATTCCCCTCGGGATGTTTCCTCATCCAGCGACCAAGTTCGGTGAAGCACAGTAGCCTTATTCCGGTGACCACATCCAGGTGACGGGCCACAAACATACAATCGAACATGCGCAGCCAGAGCTTCTTCAGTTCTTCATCTTTCTCCATCACAGTGGGAAATTCATTCATAGCGGTCAGCATTTTTAGGCCTACAGAAGCGCCAAAGGTAAAAATTATAATTTTATTTTAATATTTGAGAAAACAAACTCACCTAACATGGTGCTGGTGTGGCGAATTGGGCGAATATTGGACTCGGAGCAGGCCATCACAAAGCCCGACACCTCAACGAGGAAAATCTGATCGGATATAATGGATGTATCATGCGCCATCGTCAGCAGACTCTTGACAAAATCTCCGACCTTACGCTCAAAGTTCTGGGAACTGTTCTTCAGTATCATTGGATAATAATTGCTCACCTACAAAATGACATTACATTTGGGGATCAAACCCAATCCCAGCCAGAACTTACTGCGCGAAATTGTTCTGTGCTCGCTTTCAGGATGTCCCTGTAGACGAAGGGTCGCGCGGTGGCCTTAGGAATCCGATACTCACTGCCACTGGCCTCCACCACAAATTGCAATATGTCGACTAGAGCGGCATCCGGATCCTTCATATATTGCTCAAGCCACTCGCGGACCAGGTCCTATTGGTGGAATATAATACTGAATATAATATTCACACTACATACGAGTATAGAAATTACCTCATGCTTTACAGTACTGTGCAGCACAGATTGCAACAGTGACAACTTGCCAATTCTCGGCTGCTCCACCAGTACCTCGGCGATTTCCATAGGCACTTCGCTATTTTCGAAAGTGAAAAAGTGCTTTTAATGCATTTTATTGATCAATTTAAAGTATTATTTACATACCCAGACGGCTCCTCGATCACATTTATTTCATTAATATCCATTTTATACACTTTTTCAGGTTTAATTAAATTTTTTCACAAGTAAAACGAATCGCACAACCGGAAAAAAGCACGTAAAGTTTCGAAAACACAAAAACAGGCTGCCAACTTGGGTCAAATAGTGACAGCATGCTTACTTGTACAACAGCATGGAATTTGCTTTCGAGATGGAACTTAATTTCTATAACTTTATTTTATTTCAAACTCCTTTTCATACTAAGCTTAAAGAGGTTTCAGTAAGAGGCATTTTATAGGTTTTATTAGATTCTTAAAATTAAGTAAAATAGAATTGCAAAATAATAAGAAACATACAAAGAGTCTGCCAACTCTGTTCAAAGTGCGACAGAATGCAAGTGCGTTGCATGCACTTTCGATATGTTCTACTCACCTCACATTTCGCCGATAGGTGTTCTAATCGATTTCAGGGAAAAAGGCTCAGTAAATATAAAATGTAACGAAAACTTTGTGTACTTGCTAAATTTGTAGCCTGGTTGCTGGTTTCCCACATCTACACCACAAAAAATTAAAGAATAATCAGGGCAAATAATGCTGCCGAGCGAGATCGAGATCGGGTCAGGTAGCTGATCTTCGAGGGCACAAAACAATTAGCCAGGCCCACAAAATGATACACAAACAGAGCGCAAATTGGGCAGCCACTTGTGAGCGACCTCAAAGCGAAAGCGCCGCCAATCCAAGCGGACTAACAAGGACCTCATAATCATCATCCCGCCGGAACGTCGAAAAATAAACACAAATATTGACGTTGCCTATCGCACGCGATCTCCGCTCGCTCCTTCTCGCATCCCGCTTCCCGCTGAGGATTTCTCCCGCAAAGATCACAGGCTGCGCCCGCTGGCCAATTCGGCCATTCGGCCATTCGGCGGCGGTGATGACTTGGCAACTTGGCAACTCTGAATTATTTCAATCTGCGCTGATGACGCGGCTTCTTTTGGGCGGCGTCGTCGTCCTCGTCGGAGGCACGATAAAAAGCTGGCGATAAGGTGCGTGGTTCCCAGTGGATCAAATGGGGAATATCTGACGATGTACCGATAATTGCCCATCAAGATATAAAGGACGTTCAGGTTCAAAGTGCAAGCAGTTACAACAATTATTATAAGAGATTCTTCTACTAGTTTGATTTGGTTTTTAAATGGTTCTTCGGGGTATTACAATTAAAATTCGATTTTTAATATAAAATAGCTTTTGTTATCAATAGTAAAGGGCAACTCTTGGTCTACTACTTCTTCTTTAGCCAACTTGTTATTCCCTGGAAAGCAGAAGGCATTCCTGGAATCTCCACGAAACCCCGTCTGGGAGTCCAGGCAAATATTGACGATTGGGATTGAAAATTGGCGCACTCCAGAGTGAGACGAGGCAGCTGCCATTGATTGAAAGATCAATCGAGATCGAGGAGATTGCGAATCCGATTTTGAATCTGAGGCGATTCCAGCTGCCGTAGGGTAATTGGAGTCCACCTACGGCCAGGCCTTTCGGCTCCCAATCTCATTTCATATTCAAAACGATGCCTCTTTTGGCCGGCCATTGTCCATTGTGTTTGATTGCCCGAAATCTGACCTTCACCCTGTGCGTTCATTGTTGCCCTTTTGGCAGGCGAGGCAGGGAATTAGCCATAGTCCGCTGTCCATTTGGATTTTGGATTTCGACTACAGGAGCAGCTGCTGTGGCGCTCGTGCCCGTTTCCCCTGCCCCTGACACTGACACTGAACCCCGCTTCTCTATGGCATTGACGAAGACACCTGCCCTTGGTTAGAGAGATGCACTAGGAAAGGTAGTTGTTATGAATCTAAAAATTTATAAAATTTTTTATTTTCCCCGTCAGTCCTTATGAAAAAAGGATTGAAGTCTTAAACTGACTTCTGGCCGCCATCTAATTGACTGTACAAATTCGCAGAGTCTTTTCCTGGCGGCTGTTTTCGACACTTTGTTGCAACTTTTGAGGGAAATTTACCGACCGACAAGGGAAATTGTAACAAAATAAGAAGAACTAGGGGGGAAGCCAAAGAAATCAAGCCACGGATAAAGTTTAGCTTAGAAAATGTTGAGTTTGGCTTTACCAGAAGTTGAGGTCGAGTTTGTTACTTTGGAGGTATTTTTGGGGGAACTCTTGTTTTGATACTATAGCATTTCCCTAATCAATAAGCTAAATAGCTCTTGGAACCATGAACTGAATATCTGTGGCCCCAGCCATTCATTCAGATACACAAATATGCTTAACCAGAGATAATAATGACATGGTGATAATATCAAACATGGACAGGGAAAATCATCTCGCCATGTCCAGATACTCCTTCTCGATGTCCTCATAATTGGGTCACTTGTTGTGTGTGGCAGCCACGGCCGAATGAACCACACAAATATGCCAGAACAATGGCAGCTAACCATTCCAGGGGAAGGGGAGCAGCAGCAACAGCAGCAGGAGCAGGAGGCAGAGGAGGTGGCCACATTGCACCGCATAATTAATCAAAGCGGCACGCGGCTGTGGGCGCCACAAAGCGAGCCGCCGACAATGCCAAACCCAAAACCCCGATCCGAGGCCCATGCCCCGACCCCAAAGCCAAACCAGAGAGCTATGAGACAGAATCCCGCCCAGCACGTGAGCGGGATGTGGCAGGGCCAAGGGTCTCGGATGAGGAGGTGCCGCATACGAATGAACGCCCTCTTCCGGATTTAATAGAGAAGCCAGCGGATGTGGATACACAGTATTAAAGTGGATGTGGACACCCGCACAATCGGCGGGCCACGGATCATGTGGGTAGCCCACTTCCAGACGACAGTCGTCGGTCGCCGCCAGTCTCAGTCTGCATCCACGTCTGGTCTGGCTTTCGGCTCCAGCTCCAGACAGAGTCTATCCGCGGCGCAGGAAAACCAGTTGGCAATTGCTTCATTCATAAATTGGCAAAGGCGTTTTTTCCCCGATAGCTGATCACTGTGGTTTCAAAAGCTGGTAACTAGCTGACAATATAGTGAATAAGATGCAAACACCCATTCGTTGTATTTTCTTGAGTTTGCTAAACAGCGAATTCCATTAATAATCAATTAACCTGTTCATACGTTATTTTCTCAACTAATCCTAATTAAAGCTACTAAAATACTTCTCAGGCCTAAGCTAATATCTTTGGTCCCAACTAAGCTGCACAGCAACTCCTTAGAGATGACTCACGCCCTGGTCCTAAGCAAACCAGCGATTACCTACTCCTCATCCTCGTTCAGCTCCTCCTCCTTCTCCTTCTCCTCCTCCTCCTGTGACCGCCTCTTCAACTCCAACAACTAACTGCTAATTGACACACCTCGACGATGGCATCACGTGCCCCATTGCCAGCCAAACCGAGGAGATGACTCATCCAACGGCAGAGAGCTGAGGTGCTGAAGAGCACGTTGCCAAAACCCGCTTATATACTGGCCATTTATGAATGGGAAGCCGGGTCTAAAAACTCTAAACTCCTCCGGGCTTCGGACTTGTGCGACTGGATACACTCCTCCATTCAACTCCAACTCGATTCAATTGCTTCTATGCGACGACGACGACGACGACGTCAAAAGCTGTTTGTTGTCTGGCTTCCTCGCCACTCCGCGATCTTTTCCGTCTGCGAGTTTGCCTTAATAGTAAATCGTGTTTTGCATGCACGAGTAGGTTGAGTTTGCCCCTCAATATAAAGATATATACACACATACATATATCTCCATCTATATTGTGGTGTAGGAGTTGTGGAAATCGAAATTTCATTCACTCATTCATTCATTCATGAAAATGTGCTTGAATCGGCCGTTTGGCGAGTTGGATTACCGGGATTATGATACGATACCGGGGTTAAGAAACCCCAGGGAACGGAGAGAGAAAAGCTAGAATGCATTTCAACACGTCGATAGAAAAGGGTTCTGCCTAATATTCGAAACGTTAATTGGGATATTAGAGACGAAGGTTGTAAAGCTCCCAGAAGAAGGTAAAATGTGTAATTTCTACATCAGCATAAAAGTAAATTATACAAAGTTTTCCCAGAAAAATAAAATAAAATGGGATAATAGAGATAAATCTGCATTCTGCAATCTATTTCCAACAGCTAGAGGTATATAAAGAGGGGCAAGGAACCTCTAATCGGCTTAAATCTAATAGAAACAGAATAGAGAAACTGGAGCAGAAAGCTCTGCCTTAACTGCGTAACGAATTCCCTCGAATCTTCGGCTTCAAACCCGAACGAGACTTGCAATAAACCCAAAATAATTCCCAAAAACACACACCACCAGGTTCGAGACCCCACAAGAAGGCGAGATGTCAACACTTTTACCGCACAGCAGCTGGGATTCCATGGAACTTGCACTGCCACGATCACTGCTGCCCTCAAAAAGTGCATCCAATGTCCAGGTCCATGTCGGAGATCCATGGTTATGACCGCTCCGAAGCGCCGGAGAGGCAGCTGCCTTGTTAATGATGGTTTATGACTACTCCTCGTCGTCGTCGTCATCGTCCCCGGTGACCATTTCTCAGGCCCATAACTTTACGGTAACGATCCCGATCCAGGGTCCAAGATTGATTGCCCCGTGTGGCAAGTGAAATTAAAAAAGTGTTAAGCCACAGTCACAGTCACAGTCCAAGAGGTGGTCCCTAATAAATCCCAGCTAAGTCCGAAACACGAAACAGAACCTGCCTGACCAACCGACCGGCCGGCCCTTTTAATGTCTTTATTTAGTGGAAAACAAAATCGGGGCGAGTGACAAGCCGCGGAGATAACACAGATAAAGATACAGCCGCGGAGAAAGGGAACCTCGCCGGGAGAGTTTTATGGGGAGCCTTAATTGAAACAGCAAGTTCCCAGTTGTCACACGGAGGCGGTCCACGGATCGGAGACCATTAGACCGATAAAAGCGTTGGCCTGCCTGCACTTTAATCCCACAGAGATCCGCAGATGCACTCGAAAAATCTTTCAGTGTCTGAATATATTTTAAAATTACAAAATAACTCTATAAATTGGATTGGAAATGTACAAGAACCCGTAACTTTTATCATATGAAATTCCTTTTTATATAGTTTATTTTAAATAAGTTCCCAATTTGTTTACAGTGCATGAATACGGGACATGGCCCTGGACTTGGACAGCGGACATGGACATGGCCGGTCGCCA